TGACGTGCTTGCAATTTATATTCCATGGTGTTTCAGACAGGTACATGCATGTCTTCGTCGCAGACCGCATGTGTACCCACACGTTCGCTCCCGTGTGGGTGTTGCGTCTGTACATGAATGTATGTACGTGTTACTCTGACAACTCTTGTTAACTCTTGTGCCTTATATAGTTGAGCAAAGACTTCGATATCCGACAAGCGATCGTTGATATAATTAGACTGATCAGACTGTACTGGTCAGTTTTCTGGGATTACATTCTTGAAATTTCTTTGTTTCAACTTATCACTCGCGATTACACTGCTAGCTGAAGAATGTATCAGTTATGTCTTACGGGATTATATGTTTATATATTTATGAATTTGATATTTTGAGAAATTAATATCTTACAGTAAAAGAAATTGTATATTTGTGTTGGAAACGGCCAACTCACGTTCTATATTAACGGTTTGTATTGAATTTTTTAACACATTTGAGTGTTATTAATTTAATATAATGTGATTATGTTATTTAAAGATTTTGTAATTGATTTTGAAATTGATATTGAACGTTAGTATCAAAATGATAGAATTTATGAGTAAGTGAACAAGTAACATAAAAATAATGTGTTTTAAACATAAATCTCAAGACAAATGAATAAAATATGTGTTGATTTAACATATTACAAATGGTAATTTTCTGAAAAAAATATGTTTCCACGGTTTTTTTTACAAACTGTGTCGATATTATGTTCTTTGTTATATTTATTCTCTTATATAAGATAATTTGTGTTATATACCTTATAATATATTCATCTTGTGTAAAATTAATTCAAAATTTCGAGTGGACATTTGCGGTTTATGTTAAATTCGATACTTTTTTTCAACCGTATAGTACCGAAAGGAAAAACATCAAAAAAGATAACAAACATTATTTAATATTCTTTAAGATTAATGAATGAAATTAATAATTTTTAATTTTTAATAATTAATAATTTGTTCATCCAATACGTAAACTCATTGATATAAAATTATATGTTTTTTTTTAAGTTTTTTAAGTAGTATTAAAAAATTTCTGTTGTTATAAATGATTAAATTATTACCAATATACACATTAATTATGTTATTAAATAATTTTATACGCGATACTAAATTATGCATTTATTTCTCTTCAAATACCATGACGTTTAATCGTATAATTAATTACTTAGTCGGGATATTCACGTAACATTTTTTGTGGTTTCTGTTATTGATCGTACCGCCCAGACACAAAGAACTGCGGACATTCATTTCTCTACATGAAAGCCATATTGAACAGCCGACAGACGATATTTTAAACGACGAGGGACGAATACATTTACCTTCGCGTATATTAAATCCGAAAATATATATTATTATCCATATTCCAATTCATATTTTATATCAGACTGTCTTTCTATTTTTTATTCTTCGGTCACAATTAATTTTCTGAATTTGATTTCAGACAGCAGGATTTATATCATCCAGCCAACACTTCGTATGGTAAGTATTTACAATTAGTGTGATATTGCTTCCTAGTTTTTAAAAACATAACTAACATTATACTTAATTCATATAATGTTTACTTGTTATAATGTTACACAAGTTGTACAAATTTGTGTAAATACTTATGTGACAGGTAAGTTGTTTTTTAATAATTTAAGTAGAGCTTGTGTACTATAATAATTTTTTATATTTGCGATTAACGAATTTGAAGAAGATTTACGAGAGAATTAAAATTATAATTTATATTTTATTACAATGAAAGGTAGTTATAGTAGTTAGAAATTCTAATTACTAAATATACACAAAATTCTTAAAATTATAAATAAATAATAAATTATAAATAAATAAAATTATAAAAAAATTATAAATAAATAAAAAATAAAATTATATATAAATTATTGTCTTTCTCACTTACATGTGTAATATCGAAATTATTGCGAATTCTATACAAGGAAATGTTTTGTATCTTGAGTCGTATTCCACGATAAAAAGCAACTTTTAAATTTCATCTATTAATTTAATCAAATTATATATCAGAAGATAAATAATAATTAAAGCAATACGATAATTATGTGATAAATAAATATACTCTCTATTAGACAAAAGTGTTTCAAGCGTATATGAAGTTTACCAAGAAAATGGGGTGTGTAAAATGAGCTGTCCATCGTAAGAAATGCCAGAATCCAGGCTGTAAGTTTTACCCGCTCTCTGCACCTTACTACCTTCGCGTGCGATATTCCCGGTACACCTTCTATCATGGTATTCGCCACCGACGTAAGCCGCTCCCTCTTGCAAGCCGTGTTTCCCTTCGCCCCCGCAACCATTCTCACATAGAAATGCCGCCGCGATATCCCAATCGGGACGAGTTCAGTGGTTTCCAAAAGTCGACGAGTCGACAATTCGACGGTGGCCGAATCGCGCCAGTTTCTGCAATACTTGGCAAAAGCAGTCGCGAAAGAGAAAGAGTAAAAGAAAGAGAGAGGAGGAGAAGAAGGAAAGGAAAGGCGCGCGAATCGAATGTTTTTGACAGGGATTTGAAGCTGTGCATATTCTCTTCTACGGATTGAGAGAGATAATTATCTAAAGTGTCTTTTCTATGTTGTATTAGTGAGCTGTGCAATTACTATTCATGATTCTATTCTTTTACGAGAAAACATAAAGCGAAGAATGAAGTATATAATGCAAGATGTTTTTTCATGGAATGCTGCTTTTATTAGTAAGCCCCAATGATGATTTACACACACACACACACACACACACACACACACACACACACACACACACACACACACA